CATTATAATTTTGCTAAAATTCAGTGGCCGGCCAGTAGATTATTGTTTACTGATACCGATTCGCTCGTATATGAAATCGAATGCGGGGATATCTATCAGGACATGTACAATAATCGACATCTGTTTGATCTTTCTGATTACCCACGTGAAAGTAAATTTCATGACGACACAAATGAAAAGGTTATTGGTAAGTTCAAAGATGAAATGAACTCGAGCGCTATCAAATATTTTATCGGATTACGCAGCAAAATGTATGCCGTATTATTGGACAATAATAAAATAACAAAAAAAGCCAAAGGTCTGCCTCGTAATTTTGTTAAAAAGTTTATGAAATTTGATGACTACAAGTACGCGCTTGAGGGCGGTGTTAGTTTTATGAGAGCTATGGCAATTCGAGCGAAACATCATAAGCTTGAAACAGATGTCATTATCAAACGTGGATTGTGTAATTTTGATGACAAACGCTATTGCGAAAATGGGGTAGATACATTTGCCCTTGGGTATTGTCGTGATGATAGATCTATACTCGACATTATCTTTTCCAACTGAAATTTTATCTAAACTTATAAAATAATATTTGAAAATTTGATAATGACAAATAGCTACAATAGTAACATCAAATATTTAATGAAGGACGGTAAACAATTGACAGTTGAATTTAATAATGAAACATCAGGTATATGTTTTAATGGAACACGTGACAAGCTAAAACTTTTGCTTTATCAGATCTGATAATAGCGTGTATTTCAATTATATCGAACAATTGTATCAAAAGTTGCTAGCGGAATTTAAAAACTTTCACAGCCCCATTAACCAACAAAAATATACTAAACTCACAATTGATCTTGATCAGTCAAAGTTGTATTTTGTCGACAAAATGTATCCTCTAAACAAACCAGAAATGAAAGATTTGTTTGAGTCCCGTCGCTGTGTGGGCGGTAAAGTAAAATTTAGTATCTTTAGTCGTGATAGTGAAGTATTTTTAATATCAACAGCTGAAACATTAATCATTGGTAACGAGATATAAAATAATATCATTTTCATTCTAATGCTAGTTTAATTTCCGCCTTGTTAACTGAAACGTTCTAATGCACAGTTTAATTTTCATCCTGTTATCTGATAAAAAAAACTTGTGGTAGACTGATTATAAAACCCATTTGCTGTCTTTAGAATAATCGTATTCCACGCATGCGCTGTTCTAACAAATTCGTCACCTCTGCATGACAGAGCTTATCTAGATGAATCATAGCATTCCAACACCTGTTATTTTGTCTGGTTACAAAATACCTGTCTGTGTAGTAGTAGTAGGAAACAGGGGTTTTGGGGGGAGGGGGTGGGTGGGAGGGGATGGGTGGTGGAGGGGGTGGGTGGGCTAAAACCCTTGTTTTCTGATACTACTGCCAAGCAAAGGAGAGGTACCTAGTAACGATACGGAACAACATGACATTTTCATTTAACATAGAGCATATTTCAATCCATTGCATGCAATCTTAGTACATCGGTTTCTATTCCCATGGCTTTTTGTTTTATACCTAATTAAATTGTAAAAAGTATATCGCATTTCAAAATTTTCTCTTCTCCTTGTCTAAAATATAACTTCTTTATTTCCTTTATTTTACACATCTAAACTAATCTTAATACATTCTTTCGTCACTTTTTGTGATTTTCCCAAAACAATCCAAGTATTACAAGAAGCCAAGATCATGTATCAATTTGAGACAAAAGGTTGTGAATCTGGTCGTACATAATATAAATTTTGAGACGGATTGTTTGTGAAACCATGATCAAACATAATATCTATTTGAGATAAATTATTGTGAAACTAAGATCATATAAAATATCAATTTGAGACAAATTGATGTGAAACCAAAATCATGTATAATATAAATTTAAGACTAATTACTGTGAACATAAAACCTCATTCTGCCAAAGTTCTGAGATCATAAATTTAGATTGCAGAGCCACAATTACCACTGTCCACATCTAAGATAGAGAATTAATTGATAAACGTTTAAAAATAATGGTTAATTTGACAACTGAGAGAAGAAAGCAGCCGCCTTATGACTGATATTTTAACCAGAGCAACCACAGTAGTTAAGACAGAAGAGCTTTGGTCTCGTTTTCAAGGGTTTGCGGGTTCGATTCCTATCAAGACCAGTCCTGTATTACCTCGCATGATACAGCCAAAAATATGAAAGAAGTTCCTTTTATACCAAAAGTATATAATTTACTTATTTAAGTTGCCTGTCATATACAATAACTTTTCAAAAGAACCAATTTTAGCTGAAATGTTCAGAAATTGATTATTCTACTTTTTATTTGATGATGTTTCATCTGGGAATTTTTATCTTTTCTGCGTTTTAAGATTTTTTGACACATTTCATTCACATCAAAGATATTTTTATATAATGTTATTACAATGCGTTATTCAAAGTAAATGGCAGTCACAAAAGAAGGAAATAATATTCAGTTCCTATTAATAATGAGAGGGAGTTGAAAAGATCATTCCTAAAGGTCAATGAAACATCTTGCAACAAGTGACTGAAGTATGTTTATAATAACAGCTATAGACTTTCTAATAACAGCTGTAGACTTTCTAATAATAGCTGTAGACTTTCTAATTATCTATTTAGACTTTCTAATTATATATATATATATATATATATATATATATATATATATATATATATATATATATATATATATATAGACTTTGTAATTATCTATGTAGACTTTCTAATGTATATTTACCGATGAAGAAAATGAGAAGCAAACAAAACTGTCGTCAAAAAGCCTACATCGTTTGCACTTAGAAGCATGCCACTTTTGGAACTGCTCAACCCAAAGACTTTTTCAATCGTTGTAATCTGGGATGACAGATATGAGTTGACGGTATAAGTGAACATAGAGCCGATCCCAAACACGATGGAGAAACTAACTAAACTGGTAAGGCACTTCTCAGAGCTCTGTTCAACTTCATTTTCTTGTTTTTCTTTCTTTTCCGATGACGCTTCCGGTTCTCCGTTGCCAATTCTGCCGCTTGAAATTATAGATAAGTCGATTTCGTTGGAATCTGTAGCCCGTGCATGGTCTGTTGTAACTGTTGGACCAGACATCTTACAAAATCTACAAATATATGTCCTTTTCCTTGATCTAAGATATATATATATATATATATATATATATATATATATATATATATATATATATATATATATATATATATATATATATATATATATATATATATATATATATATATATATATATATTGCATTTTTTCACTGAACACGTTGCTTTTGCTTATTTGTCCTTGCCATTAAGTTATTAAGAATGGATACAACAAAGTGTTTGTAGAAATCTTGGTAGCTGTTAATGCACGTTATTTATCGTGCCTCGTGTTACTTTAATGTCAAATATTAAACTAAGCAAAACAAAATTAAAGTACATTTTTAATATCTATTAGCAATTAGAAGTCCTCATTACTAAATTTTTAATAATAAAAATGATTGGGACCCAAGTGGCCGAGTGGTCTGAAGCGCTCACGGTTATGGATTACTTCCATCTCACCTCTGCGTGGGTTTGAGACACGTGCTTTGCCAATGTGGGTACTTGAGAAAGCTTGACAGTAGCTTCTTGTGGGTCGTTGGTTCAACCCAGGGTTTTCCCGGGTTATCCCTCCACCATTTATACTGACCGCCATGTATAGCCTATCATTTACAGCAAAATGGCGTTGCATCCTACAACAACAACAAATGATTATATATCTAATTTAATACGATGCTATGCAAAAATTAACATAAATGAATTCAGTGCAATGTTTGACCTCTTCCAGAAAATATTCACATTTTGTTTTGATTTTTTTTTCTTTTTTTTGTCTTCATTAAAGAGGTTTACCAATAACGCTGAGTACTCCTAAACGGGTATTACCTAGTGCACAATATTTCATTTTGCTGTGAACAATAGCACAACCCTAATTTAAAGGTAGTGAACAACGAGTGCGCACATGTGAAAAGCTTGGAATTAGCCATGCTGAAAGCATTCTTATTTTCATGCCAGCGAGTAACTGTCGATATTTAACAAGGTATAATAAGGAACTCCTTATACATGTGTATGTTAGTCCCGGGAGATACATTCGTTTTTGTCGCTTTAATAGTTCAACTACGTCGCTTCGCGGTATGCGTCGATGTGAAAACTATACACATGGAGTCCATCGGCAGCTCGGCATTTCTTTCTCTAACACTTTTGCAACTCCGTGTGTATATACCTGTTACAGAAAATCGTACTAGAAACAAAGAATTAGGGGATTAAAGAAATACCAAGTAAAGATTTTTAAACTTCAGTATAAACATGTACAGCTTGGCTTGAAATGACGTCGCTGTTGCATCGTTACGTCACCAATATTAAGTCACTTGTTTTCAAATCGCATCATGATGCTGTGAACTCTCAATGAGATTGAGCGTTAAATCACGTGACTGCTGTGTTATGGAGTAATGAAGAATAAAAGTACGTATACATATTTTTAACAATCTTTCTTGATAATGTCAAGGATACTCATTTATGACTTGGGGTAACAGCTGAGCGAATTACAACCTTCAATAATAAAGTTGCAGAAAACCTAGTGTTACTCATAATCGAAGACATCTAAAAATAATGCTGACATTATGTACAAAATGTTGTATGACCAAATTATCTAAATAAAACTGAATCTTGAAAGATAGTGATCCTGAACGTTGTTGGGTGCCGCTAAAACCAATTAATATCGACCTTCCGTCAAGCTATTAGCCATTTGATTTATACCATGAAAAGAGAAACCAGTCCAATTTTCAACTGTATAGGAACTAATCCGATATTGACCGGCGACTTCCCTGGGTCAACCGATTTCAGCCGAAATCTGGAAAACAAGATTTTATTTGTCGTTTCCCTTGAAAATATAAAAAGCCAACACTAGTCTTTGACGGATGCAACAAGCGACGTTTATGTGTTAAACTATTCTCACCGGTCTGCTGGCCTAGTGATTAGAGCGTCCGCCTAGTATGTGGGAGGTCGTGGGTTTTATCCCCGGTCGAATCATACCTAAGACTTTCAAAAATGGTACTAACATCTGTCTCGCTTGGCGCTCAGCATTAAGAGGTTAGTGTTAGGACTGGTCGACTTGGTGTCAGAATAATGTGACTGGGTGGGACATCATGCTACATGTCTGTGGCATGATGCCTCTGAGCTAGACATCACTATAAACTGCTACACTGTAGATATCGTAGCGATATGACTGAAAAATTATTAAAGCTACGATAAAAATCATAATCACATCAAATCACGTCACATCTCACAAACTATTCTCGATATATCACTGTACAAACGTACTCACCACTTTTGTGCAAGAGGAATATATGATCTTCAAAGAGTGTCATATTTAATGAATTTTAAATTTTCGTTCAGCTATAACTTTGTGGATAATTGGCGACATGGTTTCGGTTCTTTTGAATCATTGCACGCTGAGTTAGGTCAGTTTTCGTGTACACATGCATGCACGTTCCACAGAAAGGTTGAATTCTCACGACTCGGTCGGTAACTATCACTTACCCACGGCTCGATCGGTATCTATAACCTACCCATGACTCGATAGGTAACGTTTACTTACCCGCGACTCGATCGGTAACTTTTATTTTCCCACAACTCAATCTGTAACTATTACTTACCCACGACTTGGTCAGTAACTATTACTTACCCGTGACTTGGTCAGTAACTAATACTCACTCACGACTCGCTTGGTTACTATAACTTACCCACGACTCGGTCGGTAGCTATTACTTACCAACACACAATGTAGCAGTATATACGATACGTACTCTTTACACACGTGTCTTAAAATTGTGAATAGTGCAAGTTGGAATGTTTGCCAGAAGATCATCCTGTTTCAAGAACATTTAATACTTAGCTGACATTAATATATACCATCTTGCACACTATGAATATGCCGTGATACTTACAAAAGACGTGCACGCTATGGTGCATTCGTGTTCCCGAAATGGTCCAGCACTTGAGTTTGCCACTGATTCGTATTAGCAAGCATTGTGACTCTACTATAAAAATGTAAACATATTAGAATGTAGAATGTCATCATCCAATCTTAGCCACAATTATATACAGATAATACTGTAACGAAGGTGCCATATCTGATATCAGATTAACAAATATATTTTATATTTACAAGTCCTCAAGACGCAAGAGGTTTTCTGAAAATCATATATTTCAAGAGACACAAATTGTGAAAATATATCATTGATTAAATTTAAAAGATTATATTCCACAATGCATGTTATTTCCAGTAGCTATGAAATACTTTTAAGCAAAAAACAAGTTTACCTGGTAAATTCAAACGCCTTGGTCCCGTCACTCCCCGTATCTTACAAACATGTGCCACGACGTCATATATCGGTGTCAGTGGTACAGATTACAGTAATAGCATGCGCACTTCGAATGAACCTCCACTGTATGCATTCAAAACAACATGGTTAGCATGTACCTGTGTTCTAGTTTTCCCGATTATTTACATCGTACGGTATCTCAAAACCTCTAATCCAGCGGTCTTGGAAGGAATTTGCACATGGCTTCTATAAACAAAAAATGTCAGCAGGATTCATCCCCACTCTAGCAAAAGCAGAACAAGGAATAGACGACAGTCATTAATACGTCTGTTTTTTATTTTGTCCTTTGTGACTGATTCGTAGATTTGATAGAATCCTTTTTAAAATTAAAACTGATATTGATATATATCTTTGCATCCATTACACATTTGCCTAGCACCAGCTGGTCTCAGGTTCTCTCCCTGGAATAAAGATGTACATTTAATAGTGGTTGCATATCAGTAATAAATATTAGTAATGTTTGTTTCCAGTTAGTCTCTGTGCAAAACATTTCACATCACGGTCTATCTAGCCCATACTATCTTGGTGTCAGCATTTCGATTTCTCTTCATAAAACAAAGTTTGAAATGCAATAGTAACATGCCACTCAGACTGCGCGTGGCTACATCCTGTACGTTCTTTGTTTCTACAACCTTGGTATGTTTTGGGCGGTCAATATGGATGACTTTGACAATGATAATATAATCTACCATGGCGAGTACTCTCATAATCTATGTATCTTTACAAAAAAGAAAATCAACGAACCTAGATGCATATAAAGTTATGAATAATCTGTTTGTAAATAGCTAACTGCAAACCCATAAGTCTATTCAATATTAGGGGAAAATTAGACCGCCTTTAAATGTAACGAATAAATCCTGTGTTTGTGTTTGCAACAATGTACACCTGTCCTGCGACGTCCAAAATCAAGGTTAGAGATACTGGTTAAAGTTGTACTGCCCGTACATATCCGTTCATTTGTCTTCATCCATAAACAATAGCAGGGCAAAACAAGGCAGATGCTCGCGTGGGATAGGCAATGCCAGAATCTTTTTTCCCTGATTGGCAGATACCGTAAACCAAATGGGCGAACGATGATATTATGACCTTTTCTTGTCTTTTGCGACCCTTCCGCACATTCAAAACAATTTAAATGATGAAAATTCCAACTTAATAAGATACAATTTCATGCAACTGTAACCAATTGTCTTTACCCTTCCATGATGTCGGGTTTGATCCCTGCAACCAGTATGTTTAAGGGCTAATGGTTGTCCATCACTGGTAAATGTTTTGAAGGCGTACTTGTTTGTTGGCTCCTTCTGAATAACCAATTTTATTTTTATTTACATGTCCACCAGATTTAAAAGTTTTTTCGAATATGTCTAGTTTTGAAAAGACAAGCTATTATTTTATAGCATCATAATAGATCTAAATGTATGGCATTACATTCTGCCAAAGTAGGCGATTAATTTTTGCACTGAGACAATTCTACGCTGGAGACAAGCATGTCTTGCAGTTCATCATGATGCGTGTTTCACCACTCACCATTATTTCAGTTACAAACACTTCGAGGCGTTCAATATCATGGCCATGATAAATAGTACAACGATAAAACTAGAATGCATCCGATCTTTTGAACATCACCCATGCGTTTATTTAAGACAAATGTACAAGGACTGTGTCAACGTTTTGTTCGCAAATTAACAGATTTAGAAAACAGAATATACAACAGGTGTAAGCATGTGCAATGATTAATAATGATAAACCAGTGATAATTATGTTTGTCTGTTTTTTTTTCCGCTCCTGTTCTTCTCAAAGACCCATCACAGCTACCGGGTATGATGCAGAAATTAGTGCATTTGTCCTTTAAAAGCTTAAAATGTAATGTTGACCTATTGGTCTTCCAAAATGTGACTACCAAATGTGTTGCCTTTGTTGTTGTTATTATTATTATTATTATTATTATTATTATTATTATTATTATTATTATTATTATTATTATTGATTTCCAAAATAATGTTATCATTGGAACGGTCAATATATGTGACTGGTTTACTTCTGTAATACAGTGATAACAATCTACCCTAATAACAAGTATTATGATGACCCAGTATAAACATTCCTAAGCATGTAACAGCACTGAACATTACATGAATATTCTTACTTACATGAATGGTCGACTACAAATATCGAATTACAAATTTATATACGTGTCCTTAATATCCCATGTAAAAAATATATATTTAAATTGTAACATAGAATCCCACTTTCTACAGCTTTAAAACAAATCCCTAGATATCCTCTCCTCTGAACAGTTGATACAGATTACACACGCTGATTTAGTACCTCTTGCAATCCCAATAGCAGGAAGGACACAGCGGATGGTTTACACAAAACAGTGGTTAGTTTATCTACGAGAACAGTAATATAAACGGTATATAATGCTTCGAACGAGGAAATGAATCTCACAAAACAAACTACATAAGTTCAGTTTTGTAACACTTTACTGCAACAAAAGGAGTAGCAGATTCCATGATGATAGGAATGATAAAATTCGATCCTGATCTGCTTTAATTTTCTCTTCTCAGACAAGCTATAGACCACACTTAGAATGCATTCATGAATTCATGAGATCCTGGGTCAACAAATCCAAAACGAGGCTGAGCTGGGTACTAGCTTATAGATTTGTTATAACCAGGGGACCAAAATATGTCAGATAAAGGTTTTGTTAAAATTAAAGTGAAAATTATTTAATAAACAGAATAACATAATATCCTATACATAAAATGACAAAATGTTATATTGTTTAGAAACGACTCTTCCCTATTATGTTTGTGTATATATATATATATATATATATATATATATATATATATATATATATATATATATATATATATATATATATATATATATATATATATATATATATATATATATATGTGTGTGTGTGTGTGTGTATGTGCTTGTGTGTGTGTGTGAATGGCTTTCGAACAGATTTGAACAAAAAATCCTGCTGTTTTATGGGTAAATATATAAATGTCAGTGCATTATTGAAACAACAAATATGTATTCCTATGAATAAAATCTTATATTCATATTGTTAGTTGACAAATGGTTCAGAAAATAAAAGAATATGGCATTTAAAGGGAAATCCCATTCCCTTCCATCCCCAGGAAATAAAAGCATCAAGCACAATAACATCAACAGGTTGTGCACTTCTGATACAAATTAAAATGGAAGAATACCGACATGTACCCAAGAACTATTTAAAGCACACCACAAAGTCTCTACTGGGGTTTGGGGGGGGGCTGGTAGGTGGGAGGTGGATGTGGGTGTGGTTGGTTAAAAGGGCAGTTTGTGTCACTATCCAAATTTTGTAAATGTTTTATTCAGACCGCGTGTTATGACCGCAGTATTGACTGATCATAGCCATGCAAATAAACCATACCTAATCAGAAATAAAAATTCATGCTTCAAATAGATTCTGTTCTCTATCGTTAGCTTGTATGTTTTGTGCTGTAGAGAAAAAGGTCACTCGACATAGAACGTAAATCAACTTAAGTTTAAGAGAAATGATATATTAAGTACGTTTTCGTAATTATATATATATATATATATATATATATATATATATATATATATATATATATATATATATATATA